GGGGGTCAAAATACATTTTAGTACAATATTTATAAATTATTAATATTCAAAAGCTTTTATTTTTCTTATAAACTAAAAAATTAAAATTTTTATAATTTAAAACAATCTAGTTATTAAATATTTTCAACTAATGTCTACAACATAAGCGGATATTTGGTTTCATCTGTGGGGGGGCTTAACATTATAGTCTTATTCATTAGTGGAAACAAATAATTTTAGTCGCTTCCAACGCCTCCACCTACTAATTGTAGTGGCTACTCCTACTTTATTCCAGCTGAGGCATCAAATATATATATATATATATAGATAATAGGAACATAAAAAAATAAAATGTTGAATAGTTACTGAATTATTTTTATTGTAATTGTATACATCGTGTTTTTTGTGAAAATATACTAACAATTGTTTTAGTAATAATAGATTTAGAAATTTCTTTTTCAATATATAATATTGAGGTGTTGAACCTTTCCTGCAGCATAGAAGTTCGAAACCAAGTTTTTATTCTACACATGGCCGAAAAACTCCTTTTACAAGCGGAGGAACTTATAGGAATTGTTAAAGCAACTTAAAATAGTTTATATAAATTAAGGAAAGTCTGTTTTGTTAAAACCTTTTCCACCTCATTAAAAGTTATATAATTTTCATCAGAAAACTGCAATACCTAAGCAATTCTTTGCCACTTTTATTTCTGACTGTAATACATCTTTAGATACATTCATCAAATACTGAAAAATATACAAAATACAGGTTCACTTTTAATAAAACTAGAAAACTAGAGCATAGGTAAGTAAAAATTAATTTTCAGGAACCGATACGATACTTACTTTATAATGATTTACAAAGAAAATACTTTCCTCAAAGTTTAATTGAAAAAATTGATCAACAGTTGTAGCCATTTGGCGGCTCTCAGTAGAAAATCTTTTTTCTAGATTTAAAGATATTGAAATTTAAATACTTTGAATCATTAATTATTACTTAATCTATTATACCAATTGCTTCATTTACTCCTCTTATCATCTTCATTTTCAATTAATTAATTAATAATTTTCAATCTTCTAAAGCTTGAATAATTGCTTTATAACTGTTTTTCACAGACTATATTTCTATAATGGCAATTCCATCTAGTGTCACTAAGTTTAATAATTGTCGCATGTTTTATTCCTAGTTTAGTTTGAATCTCAATTAATTTTTGATTTTTTGACAGATGAGAAAAATGTACGTACAGAGATTCTAAAGTGTTGAACACATGCCTTGTTTCCTAATATTAATATAAGTAATAAATAAAATCATGAAGATCTAAGATGTATATAAATATTCATTACCTTTACATATTTACACATATCAATTACAATGAGGTTAATTTTATGAGTCATGCAGTGGGTATAAATAGCGTAAGGATATTGATTTTTTTTTTTTTGTTGTCCGTTAAATTTCCCAGGCATAACATTTGCACCGTCATATGACTAAACAACTATTTGTGGTTTAGAACCATAATATGTAATGATATAAACTTCCAGCATCATGATTCTTAAAACATTCTATAAAACCGAGAAATCTCTCAACATCTAGATTTTTAACATACCTTACCATTTGTTCTTGTTTGTAACATCTATAAATTGATTTAATAAAAATAAATTAAGATGTCCATGTATAAAACATAATTTATATTTCACTTTGCTTCATCACACATAATTCCAAACACCTCAACGACTTCAATGTCTTTCACAATTATTTCATTCACAACATCTGCACATATTCCTAAAAATATATTAATTTTTTTTACAAATAATTATCATAATTAGATATTTTACATTTAAGATCATTTAAGACTATTAGTAATACAGACAAAACTGTCTTAAGACGGATAAAACGGAAAACTATCCAATACGGAATTTTTCTATGGTCCCGGCACGTTCCTATAGTTTGATATAGACGCTGAACCTCAATAAAACGGAAACGGAACGATTTAGTAAGTCCTATTGAAGTAAAAACTTTGCATAACCGGAAAAATGACACGCACAGCCTTGTAAATTATTCGAATACAAGTATTTGAATACTTGTAATTAGATACTTCTTGAAGTATTTATATGGTATTCTAAATACAATTTTTTTTGTGTATTTTTTTAGGTATTTTGAATACTTTTTAATTGCATTTTTACCAACATTTAAATACTTGTAATAAAATACCATGAAGTCAGTTCTATTAATTTTAATTTATTATTTTTCAAAAAAAAAATTGATTTCGTTGAAAACTAATATTATGTTTTTGTATAATAAAAGTAGGTAATAACAATTTTACCACGCTAAATACCACATTACATTTTATATAGTTTTCTGTATTGGAATTTTTTAAGAAAACTGAAAATCTACTAATTTTAAAATAATTCCATATTTATAGCAAGTTAATACCACTTTTTGTTTTATTTTTTTCATTCAAATTTAATCAATATTAGTTGAAATATATATGAACATGTATTTATCTCTAAATAGTCAGACATGTTATAATAATTGTTAAGATCCATGGAAAGTAGTAACATAATAGGCATCTATACTGGTGTACAATAAATATATATATATATATATTATATAGCATAAAATTTAAAAAATACTTGTATTTGTATTCAAATACTTTATTAGTATTCGCAAAATACATTTTTACAATAGTATTTTAAAAGTATTTTTAATACTTTTTTATTCGAATACTAGTATTAGTATTTTAATACTTTTTCAAAAGTATTTTTTACAAGACTGGATACGCGCATGTGTACTATAAACCTAAAATATAGATATGCACATTGTTGTATATACATCGTTAGTTAGTGATAGATAAAGAAGATAAAATTTTTCTATACATATTCGTACAATACGAATATATGTACATACAATGTATATTATTGCATATACGATACGAATTTTTTTCTTTGTAACTGTGAAACAGTCATACACCAGTAGTCGTACGTACACTTTTAACTTTATCTCCCGTTCATCGTATTAAATATTAAAATGCCAAAATATAAGTGTCTATGAAAAATATCAACTGATCGATATGGGTATAAAAGGATACTTGAATAATTCGGTATTTTTCCGTTTTATTGAATAAAGCGGAAAATTGCTTAAAGCGGAATTTTTTTTTGATCCCATGCGATTCCGTTTTAGACAGTTTTCACTGTATTAGTTATATTAGTTATTACTTTTTAGTTGTTAGTTTAATAAGCATAATTACAAAGCACATGATTTTTTCCAATTTCTACAAAGAAAGCAAAAAATTGAATCTTTTGATATACTATATTCAAGCCATTCATATGTTTTGTAATGCTTATGATTGAAACCGCGATTTTGTGTACCAAATTTAGTTAGTGGATATGACTGCAATATATTATAATATAATAACTTAAACTATGTTTAGTGTTTACCTACATTTGTACTTGCTGTTAAAATTGGTTGCACGGGGCATGTTATTAAAGTTGCCAAGTTGGAAATGACATTTTTATCTACAATATTTTCAACACTTTTTTGTGTAGTTATATCAATGTCTAAACCAATATTTAAATCTTCATTTTCAGATTCTAGTATTGTTGTTGACGAGGAATTTGTAACAACTCATTTTTGCTTTTTAATATTAAAGACATCAAACATTCTTTTAGACATTATTGAATTAATTACAATTTATAATTTAAAATTAATTGATTAATTCAGATAAATACATAATTCACACAAATAATATAAAATTATATTGTTTAATTGTTTAGCACGTCACTTACGAAAAAACGGCTGCATTCGATTAGCGGTCACGCGAATTGTAGGTAATATCCTAGTTGCGGTCATATACCTATTACTTATCTATAAAGTTTGTAAATAAAATAAATAAAATTTTACAGTGGCGTACGTATAACTTTTGTATGGGGGGGATCAATTGCAAACATCGCGAGCGTCCCTCCAAAATTTGTTATTTTGAGATGTCAAGTACAGTACTCAGTGTACTGGGATCAAATGGCGTCACATTGATTAGAAAAAATATACACACTGCAAGAATGAATGTTCACCCGAAGTTGCCGCGTGACTTTTCACAATTACTACTGTTATTTCAAACCTACACAATAAAAATAGTGTAGACAGTCATAGGTCTGTTTATAAAATAAAAAGGAAATTGTTGAAATTTTTTGTAAATAATATAGCATGATATATATAACTAGTACGTAATTTTTGATTATGACCGCAACTAGTATACACCGCGGAAAACTATCCATAGCAGTGGCGTAACGATAGGGTGGCATGATTGGCAATGGGCCACGGGCCCACGACTCTAGAGGGCCCTTCAAGAAAAAAATAGTACATTCAAAAACAAATCATCATAATAGTGAAATTTATAAATACGATTCTGTTTAAAAATATATGTATAATTTTGTAAAATAAAATAAATTTAATAACTGATCACGATTATGTTTATAAATTATTTTATTTACCAGTCCGTCGACATTGTCGATATTAATATTATTATACATTTAATGATATTGTTATTTGTAAAATGGAAATAACAATGAAGCGTATCGCAATCGCTTGTCTTTGAAACCGAACGTAATATTTATATTTAGATACTAGATCAGATTAGAACTATTCTAGGAAAAAGTGACCGTCGTTTAGTCGTTGTTACTTGATGTTCTTTTAATTTATATTTTATTTTGTTATTAGTCAATGACGTGTCGTTTGGACTGGTCGTTATGAATCAGTTTTTGCGCTTAAAATTAGATTTGTTGAAATTCAAAAAGCTTTAACAAAAGTTATACTTTGCAACTCTAAGTTAGATGAGCGAAATGAAGCAGATGGGATTAAAAAACAAATTGAAAATCATAATTTTATTTGCACTTTAGTTTTTCAATGTAAAATTTTACAAATTATAAATCTAACTTCTAAAATTCTCCAGTCAAAGTCATTTGATTTAGATAATGCATCTAATTTATTAAAAAACTTTTATGAACAATTAAAAGAATATAGATGTAATTTTAATGATCTCTTGGAAGAAGCAAGTATAGTTGCTAAAAGTTGGTCTATCTCTACAGAGTTTCAAAACAAACTTCGTAAAGTAGTAAAAAGATATTTCGATGAACTATGTACTGATATGCGTTTAACTTGTCTAGAAAGCTTATTTCGTGTAACTATTTTTAATAGAACGTTGGATATATTAATAAATCAACTAAGTAAACGTTTTTCAAGTTTTCATGAATTAATGCTAAATTTCACA